ATAATGGGGTTTTTAAAATCCCGTTGAATGCAAATGAGTAAGATGTAGTATTTAAGTAGGGTTTAAATTACTTCGTGAGAGAGAGAGCTAGACATGCTGAGTAGCACGTGTTTGCCTTCGAGCCAAGTCAGGGTTCATAGCCACATTTTAGTTAAAAAAATAAGCACCTACAAGCACTTTTTAAGCACATTTTAAGAAAAAAAAATAAGCACCTGTCTAATTACATCATACACAACTGCATAACCTTAAAAATTAGACTTGTAATTTAAAATATGAGAAACAAAGTACTTATTAAGAGAGAATAAGCATTACCTCAACTGTGGAAAGTAATTCCTTTTTTTTTTTGTTTGTTTTTAATTTTAAATAATAGTTCAATTTACAGAACTAGTTTACAATGAGAGGGAAAAAAAATAAACTATGAAGAACTAAACTATATTACAAGATTTAATGATGAAATTTCAGTTCAAAATAGGGAAAATAAATAATAATAAGGTATATTTATTGTATTCGCTTGGAACCTAATAATAAATACAATTTATTTCCACTCATATTGATATTTAAATAATTTAAATCTAAATGTTCATTGTATATCAGTTTTCTCTTAACACATATTGCAAGCAAAGTAATTTAAGTAAAAAAGAGGAACATTTCTGAAATCAGAAGACAGAAATTTGCTTCATGCAGTCATCTTTAACAGTAAAAGCTTAACTAACCCGCATACAGTATCCTTAAGATCCTTACAAGTTAGCCAAAGGCTCTGCAAAAAAGATTAACGCACAAAAATTTATAATTTAATAGAATTATACATCTTTATCTTTGAGCCAAGAATTAAAGATAAAGATAAAGAATTATCTTTATCTGTGAGTATACATGTCATCTATGAGGCTAATTTAATAAAAGACACTGATTGTGCTTAGGAACCAGCCAGCATTTACGGCGTAACTCAAATGATAAATATTTAAATTTAAACTAAGTCATATATAAGTTAGCCAAAGGCTCTGCAAAAACGCTTAACGCACAAAAATGTATAATTTAATAGAATTATACATCTTTATCTTTGAGCTAAGAATTAAAGATAAAGATAAAGAATTATCTTTATCTTTATCTGGGAGTATACATGTCATCTGTGAGGCTAATTTAATAAAAGACACTGGTTGTGCTTAGGAACCAGCCAGCATTTACGGCGTAACTCAAATGATAAATATTAAAATTTAAACTAAGTGATATATAAGTTAGCCAAAGATTGTGGAAAAATGATTAACACGCAAAGTGGCTCAGACCTACTGTAGCGTAACAAGCACAAATGGCAACGCCGAAGACGGGAATGCTATCGTAGGAATTCAACTAGTAACGTGGCCTCCAGAAGGAGGAACACGCTCTGATTAAACACTTTAAAACTTCCCTTTAAATATTATCTCCTTTTGACCTTAATTTGAATACGTGCGGACTAAAAACTAACATTCTGGCAGGAAAGCGAGAATGACAGTAAAGATAACTAATAATAAAATAACTGTTTAGATGAAAAATAAATAAATCCTTACAACCGGCCCTCGATGTAATATTATTATGACACTTCAACTTCAATGCTTATGTTTATTAGAAACGTGAAATTTCATTTGTTTAGAACTACTTCTAATGAGTAGTTTCAAGCAATTGCTTAACGCATGGTTTTAATATTTAAATTTCCGCAGAAGCCAAATAATGTAGAATTGAGTCATTGAAAAGTAATGAGATTTCATTTCTATCTAGAAATACAGGATCTATGAAGCCCTCAGCATTAGTGAGAGACGAGGAACATTTATATTAATTAGAAAGCGTACGGCTTATTTGTAGTGTCAGACACTAAAAAATATTGCCCTGTAGGGAGGAATAAATCAGGAGTAATTATGTTAAAAGGAGAGGCTGTAGAAAGTTCTAACGCTGCAATTTTGTGGGTGTGGTCGCTTGGAGTGTGTTAGTTATCTATCTATTTGTTTAATTTAATGGCTTGTGTAACTGATCTTGGTTATGCATTTTTTAATTAAGGTAGTCTCTGGAACCCAATCATGACAAAATCATAACGTTAATAATATGTAACTGAAAATTGTAACAATTTTTGGATTTTAGTGTAACTGATGTTCGAAGTGGCATAATGGAAATTAAATTTTCGTCCGTTCTAGACATAATATTTCTAATCAAATATTCGTAAAGTTCTTGAAAGAGTATATTCTTAATTATTCTTGAAAGCATGGATTCGTAAATAAGTACTACAGTTTTGCTTTTATATTTTAAATGTTAGCGTACATTAATATTTTTAATGTATAATAATGATCTTAATTAATGATTATAATGAAATACTAGAAATTTGGTATAAATGTTGTCCCGTCTGCTTTTTTCGAAACTCGAGAATGTTCACGATTTCAGTTTAAAATTATTAATATGCATAATATCCTGTTTATGAAATTTTTTTCATTTCGTAGTGTGAAAACTGAAATTTTGTATAATGTTCAGCTAATTTTATCTCTTTCTGTTAAATATATACATATTGTTACGTTTTTTCGTTTTCTTCTGACCCCAGTTGTTACGTTATTTTCTTCCTTCACGTTCGTACGGGGTTCGTAGATTTGGAGTGAATAACGACGACACTTGATGAAGTATCGAAACACTTTATTAGCCAGTATTGTCAGGACAGCTCCAAAACACGTTTTACAGTTGTCGTGAACTACTATAAGCAAGCTGACTCGATCAGCGACACATCTTTCAGGTGATCAGGCTATCCCGGTGGAGACAGCTTCCTGCAAAGCACCCGTCTCTGCTTTCCGAAGTACAGCTCCCGACTCTGCTTGGTCGTTCTCGGAACTCCACGTACTCTCGAGACTCTCCACGCTACAACTCACGATGCACTCGACGACCAACACGCTCTCTCGACGATGCACTAACCGCGATACACTAGCAGACTCCTTCCGTGGACTCGACGGCTCACTCGGCACTCGCTGCCCGGCTGTCAACTCGATCGACTCCGCAGGGATTGACTCGCAAAACGAGACACACTCACTCGATGAGAGAGGCACACACTCCTTCTCGATGAAGCACACTTACTGTTTGCGGACCAGCAGGGTTTATATAGCTTTCGGCTTGTGTTCGGGAAAATTATGGACTAAACCGGTAAGAATTCGTTCCAGAAGGTTCTCCAACCATCCATGGTATATCGCCAATGTTGTCGCCAAATGGGCGATTTATCGCCAAATGTGGCAACCCTGCCTTTTTTGCCATTTTATGGCAACCCTAAAACTGCTTTGCGGGGAAGCCATCCCACCGCGCCTGTACATTTCGTAACAATATGTATCTAATGAGAGCAAATTTTCAGAGAAGCACTGATGTAAGAAACTGAGATGTAGATGAGCAAAAATATTGATAGCGTACATATTTGATGCTTAGAGCGTCCATCTATTTTGAAGAAGAAGCAGTCGAGCAGGATTAAATTCCATATCTATTTAAATTCACATTGGTGGCCACAATTTACTTTGGTACTCCAGTCGTGCCCACTTCCAGAACATTCACAGTTTTGATCACAATTTTGACACTATACCGGTAGAAGCGATCATTGCAGCAGCGTCTTGTTAGGATGAAAGCACAAGCGAAAACAGGAAGAGTGTCGCAGTAGTAATGCAGAGGAAGAAGGGAGGGAGTTTAAAGTTTTGGTTTACAATTTCTTTGGCAAGAGATATTTGCATTAAGCGTTAAGTAAGATCGCATGACTAATTTTAATGACGCAGTTTATATTTTTAGCGCTATTTTTAAGACAGAGAAAGGAAGTCCCCAAATTAAATAAAAAAGTGTTACAGCCAATTAAATTTCGAAATTTGCTTTCATATTTTTTATCTTACATGTATTAGTAACGAAGTAGAATTGAATAACGTAATTCACTACGTTATTTTGAATAACGTCATTGCACTCGTAATATGGGCACCTGGAATTTTGAATTTCGAATTTGTTTTATTATCTGTATCATATTTTGTCCTAGCATGTACAGCTCCTGGGAGTTGTTGCCACTAGATACTAAAGGACATGGGACAGATGCCTGCTTGCCTGTGGTAGTCAAATTAGGCGTCCCCGCCCTCCGCCACCTGCCGCCTCTCACCTGTACTATACTTTGTAGAACTTTAACGAATTTCTGATTAACAAACACAATGATTTCAAAGCCAGCATTGGAACCACAGTATAAAAAAAAAAACATTTTTAACACCAGCACGTGAGACTGTCTATCGGAAATTCTAAAGATATGCTGTTTTGAAATATTTTGGGATATTGCTGTTGAATTGAATTTTATGTACTTTAAGTGCGAAGAACGTGATATTTAATAAATAAAATTAACACACAAAACGTTATAAAAACGCCCCTTGGGCGTAATTTAAAATCTGAAATCCTCCAGCCTTTTTGGCCTTTTCATTTTTTTATTTGTAATTTTAAGTATTGTTCTGTATGACTGCTATGTTATTTTTGAATTTAGGTGTAATTTATAGTCTATTCGCGCACCAGATGTATTCAGATATCCGTCTCAGATATCCGAATTTTTAATATATAATCTGGATATTATAAAATTGAACAGGAATGTGAAATTGAAGAGGGATTTGTTCAGATATTCGGGATGACAAAACGCGCTGGTCACGAGTTGTTGATGGCTACTTGGAGAGGTTCATATTTCCCTTGATATGTCTGGATCTTTCTATGAATTCACCAACAATTTTCTTGTTTTATTCTTTCCTTTTACATTTTAGTTTGCAGTTCCTGTTCATTTATTTACAAATTACAGATAGTAATTTGCCCATTAATGCACTTTTGCTTTCTAAATTTCACTAGGGGATAAATTTTAATTTATCTCCCATATACACATATCTCTCATTACACGGCTCTCAAAACATTAAACTTAAGTAACAATGAAGTTGTATCTTGTTGTCTTTATGAAAATCTTAATGTCTTTTTCTGTAATAAATCTAATGATACATATTTTTTTTTGTCAGCAACAACGGCTATATATGTATGAAATTCTTCAGAAGGCACAAGCACATTATAGAGATACAGCAAGGTACGTGTACACCATGCCGGGTTAATCACTTAATGTTTTATCCTGCTAAGTAATGATAACATTTTGATTTTCAATTATTTTCACTTAGGGGAGCTGGCCCGAAGTACACAGGAATCGTGCTACTCTATCTTCTCGGATACAGGCAACCAAGAGTTCGTGACTTTGGTGGGTAAGTGTCTTTTCTTTCTCTCGGGAATACAATGGTGATGTGTTCGTGACATAGAGACCATACAGGAAATGTATTTTGCGATCAGCACCAGGGCAGTATAGCCTCATGTATGTATCAGAAATTTTGATAAAAACCGTTTACTGTTTAAAAGTATGCTTCGGTTATTATATATTTCAAAGGAAAAAATGTTTTATCCTCCTATGTGTGTATTATCTGCAACTTTTGTGCTATCATCTGTATTTAGTTTCTATTATTATTACCTACACCTTTGCGCTTTTATGTAGTTTAATACAAAATTCAAATAATTATGTGGAGAAATAAAGAGGCGTTGGAAACTAAAAATCTTCATAAAAATGGTGATTGGGGATTTTTGAAGTTCCAAATTCTCTACACTTTTAGCTTCCCAAAAATCGCATACTTTAAATCTATGTAAAAATTACAACAGTAAAAAAATCTGGTTTCAATTTATCATCGAATGCTTTGATAAAAATTACAACAGGAAAAAATCTGGTTTCAACTTATCATCGAATGCTTTGATAAAAATTACAACAGTAAAAAAATCTGGTTTCAATTATCATCGAATGCTTTGATAAAAATTACAACAGTAAAAAAATCTGGTTTCAATTTATCATCGAATGCTTTGATAAAAATTACAACAGTTAAAAATCTGGTTTCAATTTATCATCGAATGCTTTGATAAAACATACAACAGTAAAAATTCTGGTTTCAATTTATCATCGAATGCTTTGATAAAACTTACAACAGTAAAAAATCTGGTTTCAATTCATCATCGAATGCTTTGATAAAAATTACAACAGTAAAAAATCTGGTTTCAATTTATCATCGAATGCTTTGATAAAAATTACAACAGTAAAAAATCTGGTTTCAATTTATCATCGAATGCTTTGATAAAAATTAAACAGTAAAAAATCTGGTTTCAATTTATCATTGAATGCTTTGATGAACGGGTAGTTTTATCTAAAAACGCGTTTTCCTCCAAATGTGATTTTTTTATATTCGATGTACTGTAAGGATTATGTTGATTTTATTAACAGTTAAATTTTGAGTTAAACTTCCTTTCCTATAGCTTCTTAATTTCAACTTGTAAGGATCTTAAGTTTTACTAACGTTTATTTTATTTTAAATCTTTACTATCACTTCTTATTTTCTACTTCCGGCCAGAATTATAAGCGTTAAGGTTTTTATGCAAAGTTTGTCTGGCGAACGCCAAGTATTTAAGTTGTGGCTTTTTGCCAAGCGAGAGAGAGGAAGCAGTTGAGTCGAAGCAGGCCGCTTACCTTAGACGTTACGCAGTTGTTGTTTGCCTTCCAGGCCAGAGGTTTTAATCCTCTTGATAAATTTTAAAACGTATTGTAGTGTTCACAGTTCTCTGTACTACATACGGCTTCCTGTTAATATAAGGCCAATCTTCCACGTTTATTATTCTAAAGTTAAATTAGAGTTTAGTTTATTTTTATATTTTACGTTTTGACCCCAAGTAGCGGGTCTTTGTATTCCGAAGTACGGAAGTTATTGTAAATAGAGAAAAATAAAGGGTTTTGTATACCCTTCTTGTGTATCCTGTTTACTTCCCACAGTTATTGAACATAGCTTTAGTAAGCTCTCTGTTCCGAGTCAGGTCCTTGCATGTTCCCGAAGAAGGTTAAGAAGGAACATTGAACCTGATAGTGGCGCCCAACGAAGAAGAATAACCATGGCCGAGTTTCAAGAAGAACCTGTGCTGCCTGCAGAAACGGCTCAGAATCCAGAAATGCCAGCTGCCGCCCTGGAAGGATTTGGTTACATCGTCCAGACCATGCGCGCTTCGATGAAACCAGAAGCAACATTTAATGGAAACTCACCGGTAACCAGTTTTTTGGAAAAATTGGATGACCACTTCATGCTCTACCCCGTGCACGAGTTTCAAAAAGTTACCTTAGCTACCAGCGCTTTGAGGGGCCAAGCGCTTAACTGGTTCAAATGTATAGGCAGAAGTCTCTTGGGTCAAGCAGGAAGTCCCACCTATACTTACGAGAATTTCAAGACTGCCCTACTAAAAGCCTTCCCTGTTGTAAGGGATCGTGCGAAATTAGAAACGGAACTTTTCAGTATATATCACAAAGAATCGAAAATCTCTCAAGCTTTATTTTAAGAAAAATTCACGTCTTCAAAGCTCTTGTATGGAAACCGTCCGGATCCTGAATAATTCAAGTGATTTTGCCGAGGTTACTGCCCCAAGTGCAAGACTTTATTGAATTAAGAAATCCGACTACACTGGAAAAGTTATTTGAGCTAGCAATCCAGTTTGAAAGTAGAAGAACGGCGGACATTGAAAGAAGACTCCAATATCAACAGCGAAACCAATTTGGTACGCCAAGACTACAGCAAACTCAAGCACACGGCTACGGAGGCAAAGCGAATCAGTGGGCAAGGAAACCCGAGCATTCAAAAACAGCCGGCGAACGTCGACCTTTCAATAGCAATCCAGGAAAAAAGTCTCAAGGCCAGGGGAAAAAGAAGGAAAGCACGGAAATGAAAAATAATTTAAACTAAAACGGATTTCTGCTGACGGGAGGGTGCGGACATCCGAAGGCCACGAAAACCCCTCTTCCTTCAAGTTAAATACAGTAATGGTGTGAAAAATTTGACTCTTCCGAAGATTGAAGTGTTGGTGAATAATATCCCAGCCACCGCACTCCTGGATACAGGCGCGCAGTGTTCCTGTGTGGCAGAAGATTTTTTTAGGAAGTATTTTCGGAAATACCGCATATATAATTCGGATAATACGACAGTGTTAGCGGCGCAAGGAGAAGATGTAAGTGCATAGGTAAAGTACCGCTGTATATCCGTATCAAGGACGAACAAGTAAAGGTGATGTTTTTTATAGTAAAGAATCTGCAAGCACATATAATCTTAGGAATAGATTTTCTTTCAGACGCACAAGCAACGCTGGATTTTAATGAAGCGTCCCTTAAGCTGACAATGAAACCAGTTCGTGTAGAAAAGGCTGAACCGCCAAGGTTAAATCTTGACCACCTGCCTAATGACGAGCAAGGAAGAATCCGACAAGTGGTAAGTGAATTTGCTTCGTTATTTAGTGATATTCCAGGATTTACTCAGGTTACTAACCATAGTATTGACACCGGAGATTGCAATGCAGTTCGCCAAAAACCATACCGGTATGATAAGAATAAGGAAAAAATTATAGAATGGCATATTACCGATATGCTACGTAAAAAGATCATAACGCCCATCTCAAGTAGTTATGCTAGCCCGGTGGTTTTATGTAAAAAAAATAATGACTATCCTTTGACGCATCCAAAAAGGTGGAGATTCGCTATTGATTACCGTAAATTAAACTCCATAACTAAATATCCGGTATATCCGTTACCGATTCATTGAAGAAATTCTAAGGAACATAAAAATCAACCAAATTTATGACGACTTTAGACTTAACGACTGGTTATTTTCAAATAGGGGTTAGGCCTGAGGACGTGCCTAAGACTGCTTTTATAACCAAGTCTGGCACTTATGCATTTTTGCGTATGCCGTTTGGCCTTTCAGGGGCCACCGGCAACATTTCAGCGATGCATGGACATTGTGTTAAGACCTGTTCTTGGAAAGTCCACATTTATCTATTTAGACGATATCATTATTACTAGTGATAATCTCGACCAACATGTACAGGATTTAAGACAGGTGTTTTTTTTTATTAAATGAGGCCGGTCTAAAAGTTAATGTCGAAAAGTGCAAATTTGCAGCCCCTGAATTAAAATATTTAGGTTACAAAATATCTCAGAAAGGAATCGAGACAGACGAATCAAAAATAATCGCTGTACAAAAGTATCCGACTCCAAACACGGCAAAGAAGCTCTCTTCTTTTCTAGGACTTTGTTCATATTATAGGTCCTTTATAAAAGATTTTGCAGCTATTGCTGAACCATTGTTAAAATTAAAAAGGAAAAAGGCAAGATTCTCGTGGACGGCCGAAGCCAATAGTGCTTTCGAAAAATTAAAACAAGCATTAACGCAAGCCCCTGTGTTGAAATTTCCTGAAAAGGATGAGAATTTAGAAATTTCAGCGGATGCTTCGGATTATGCGGTAGGAGCGGTACTTTCGCAAAATCAGCAGCCCGTGGCATTTTTTAGCCGAACTTTAAATCAAACACAAAGAAACTATTCCGCGACCGAGAGAGAGGCACTTGCAGTTCTGTTAGCAGTGCAAAAGTTCCGAGTCTATTTTGGAAAGGCGCCAATAACAGTGTACTCTGATCATGCGGCGGTAACTAGATTGTACTCAGGGAAAAACTTATCCCCAAGGTTAATAAGATGGGCACTCAAGCTACAAGAATATAATCTGGTAATCAAGCATACCCCGGAAAGGAAAATATCGTAGCAGATGCCCTATCCAAGAATTAAAATAGATGAAGAAGGGTAATACCTGTAAAGGTGGCAATGCTCACAGCATGTACAATAAATTCCCGAGAAACTGTAATAACCGAACTGGGTAAGGATCCTGAGTTTGGAAGCATTTATGAGTATTTAAAGGATCCTGAAAATTTTAGCCACCAAGATATTGTGGCGATAAGAAATAGGGCGGCCCATTACGAACTAATAGATGGTCTATTATTTTATACAAAAACTACGAATTCCAACAACGAATTTCGACCTGTTATCCCAGCTAGTCTTAGATTAAATATCCTGCAGGAGCTCCATGACAGCCCTTTAGCTTCTCATGCTGGTATTCGAAAAAAACTATCCAACGCGTACGCGAGGCAGTCTACTTTCCTGAACTGCAAAAGTTAACAAGGGCGTATGTCCAGTCCTGCCCAACATGTCAAGCAGTTAATTATATTAATTTCCGCCCGGCCGGGTTTCTAAATAGTATTAAATCCGAATTTCCAAATGAAATAATTGGCATCAATTTATTGGGCCGTTTCCCAAAAAGTCAGTTAAATAAATGTCGCTATCTCCTTGTTATGGTTGATCATTTTAGTAAA